AACTCACAGGAAGGGTGACATTTAGTCCTGCCTTAGCCATAGGATAAACAGTATGTTAGTAGTGTGTTACAGGTGATAAATGGGAAGGACCAGGTAGGAATAGAGAGGTGGTGAGAGGATGCCCCTGAGAGCACTAGACAGTGAGGCAGGACCAGGGGGACAGGGAGGACCTTGATGGTAGTGGAGTAATGGCCCTCCCCTTAGTGAGAAGAGGGCCTGTGTGGACATTACGGTGAATCGGAGTCCATGTGATAGCAGTGGGATGGGTTACTTGTTGGCCTATGATCCAAAAGGTTAGCAGTTGGAAGCCAACCGCTACCATACACTCCAGAGGAAAAAGACGGGACTGTCTACTCCTGTGAAGGGTTACAGTCTCGGAAACCCACAGGGGCAGTTCTACCCTACCCTACAGAGTTGCTGTGTGTGAGTCAGCAGTGACTTGATGGCCATAACGTTGAGTTTTGTCTGAGCCTTGTCTGTGTTCAGATGGTTAGAGGGGCCTCTTCTCGCTCTTCCCAGGGAGAGGCGATGGGGGCAGAGCGGTGACAGAACCAGATCACTAGGTGGAGGTGCAGCTTGGGGAGGGCTTAGGCAGGAGGACCCCAGCCTGACCCAGGTGCTCCCAGGCTCCATCTGGCTGTGTGATGTGGGGAGCCCGAAGGTGAGGACAGGGAGCCGCAGGGGAAGAAGATGTAGGCAGTGGAGAAGAGTTTAGCTAGCAAAGTTTGCTGCCAAGCCAGAGCGGGTATAAAAGCAGGCAGTCCTGCACAACCCTGGGGCTTGGCTTGTCATTCAGAGCTAGGTACTTTGAGTCCCCTCCGATGCATGTGAAAGTTGGACACTGAATACGGAAGACTGAAGAAGAATCGTGCATTTGGATTTGGGGTGCTGGTGAAGACTACTGAAAGGGACCGTAAAGGAACAAACAAATCTGTCTCGGAAGAAGTACAGCCAGCATGCTCATTAGAGGCACGGATGGAGAGAGTATATTGTTGAGTCAGGGACAGGTTGTCAGGGCCTCAACCCTTCTCCCTGCACGTACCAGGAATCCTAACAGACTCTAAGAATAACCGTCTTTTCTCCCCACTTGCAATGGCTGGACGATTAAGGAAAAACAGGACAGCAGTGGAAAATCCCCAGCAGCTGCAGCCCCAACCCTTCCCCAAAGGGACCCTCCTCTGTCCCTCCTTTAAAACCCACCCCTCCTCACTGGGCGGGGCTTCCCTGGGCTACTTGCTAGACCACAACCTCGTCCAGAAGGAGTTGTTACAGCCTCTTAACTTTTTCTTTCTTCCTTTGTCTTGTGCTTCAGTTCACCTCTCATTTATCTCCTGTACTTTGGACATGTTACTAAGAAAGACCAGTCCCTGGAAAAGGACATCCTGCAAAAAGAAGATCGCCATCAAGATGGAATGACCGTAGCTGTAACAGTGGGCACAGACATCAGCATAATTAAGGGAATGGTGTAGGATCCCTGAGTCGGAACCAACTTGATCGCACCTAAAAACAACAGGACTGAGCTGCCCTGTTGAGATGAGTTAGGAGCTTCGTTTAGAATGCCTGGAGTTTGAGAGAGACTGAAGCTAGGGAGCAGGATGTACGGAGATTGGAGTTCAGTCAACACTGAAGATAGTAATTTGGATACTAAGAGCTTAGAGCTGTAATGTGTGTGTGTGTGAGAGAGAGAGAGAGAGAGAGAGTAACAGACAGACATATCCCGAATAGCTTGAGTGAGACACAGGAGGACCAAGGCCTGCGAGTTGGGGCTGGCCAGGGAGAAAGAGAGTTCTTGGGCCCATCAGCTCTGAGTGCCATGACAAAGTGGAAGTGGCTTGGAGAGTGTATAACTGGAAGCCTCACCTCGACTGCAGGGAGTGGAGGTCAGGGGGGGCTTCCTGGAAGAGGTGATGTGTGAACTGATTCCCAGAGCCTGAGTAGCTACCAAAGGCAGGTGTGCCAGGTGGAGACACAGATGCAACAAAGGCCTGAAGGCAAGTGAGCCCGAAGAGAGGGCAGGGAAGGAAGCTGCTCTGAAAAGGAAACTGAATGACAGGGAGGGCGTGGTCAGAAGGGTATCCAGATGAGTCACCACCCAAAGATTTGTCATCACCCAAGCCCAGGTTCTGCCACCCTCTGTGACCTTAGGCCAAGGAGTCTGCCTTTCAGAGCATCCATTTTCTCTCCTGTGAGTTTCTGCCTCAGAGACACAGGGCTTTCGGAACTAATGCCCCACCCAAACCAGCCCACTGGAGGCATTAGCTGCCCTGCAGATTTGCCTCGTTATGACCTTGCTTCTGGGTTGGTATCATATTAACCACATGAATGGATTTAATGTATCAGGGGCGTGGTGAAAGGCACAGGCGAGAAGTCTGGCTGCCTGGACGAACCCTCCGTTACCGTCTCTCTAAAATGGGCTGAAGTTATGAGGGCAAATGAGATGAGATGATGCCATGTAAGGTGTTCACGAGGGTTCTTGACATTGCTTTTTCTGGTACTGAGGCAAGTCCATTGTCTGAGGAATCCAGGTGGATCACAGGCAGAGAGGCAAACAGCTACCACTTACTAAATATTTATCACTTAATTCCATAGGGGCCTGGGGTGGTGTGGCATCGGGAGTGACAAGGTTTACTCCCACTTTACAGATGAGAACACCAAAGCTCAGAGACTGCATGGCAGTTTGGGGATGGCACACATATGGAGGGGTGGAGCAGAATTCAAACTCAGTCCAGTGGCTTCCAGGGTAGAGGCCCAGAGCCAGATGCCCCGGGGGCCAGAGTGCACAGAGGAGCCCTGACAAAGTGTTGGGGGAGCACCTGCTGAAAACAGGAAGCAGATTGCGACCCTACAGGGCAACAGAGAATTGCCCCCATCTTTATGGGAGTAGAAAGCCTCCACTTTTTCTCGCGGAGTAGCTGGTGGTTTTGAACTGCTACCCTAAGGTGAGCAGCCCAACGCCCAGGAAATCCAACGTAGCCTCAATTCCTGCCACAAATGCCAGCGCTTCACCCCAGCGTGTGAGTCACACAGAGGTCGGGGCCTCTAAATGTCCTGTCCAGGCCTGCTTAGGGACCGTGTGCCTTTACAAATAAGCCTCAAATCTCATCTGAGACACACCTGTGCTTTAAAAAAAATGCCACACGACTGCACTGCGGCTTGATGGTCTCTACGATTCCCCAGGTCACCGCGGAGCCCTACTTCGTCAGTGGAGACCGGGAAAGACCTCACGCCAGATCAAGCCCAGACAGGACTGGAACCTAAGGCTATGGAAACGAGCAGGGTGGAGTTGCAGGATCCACATCCTGTTATTGGAGCCGGCCCGGCGTGCGCAGGCGCAGTGGTCGAGCCGGCACTAGGACCGCGCGAATACCCGCTGGGCCAGGAGCCGGAGCCCCGGGAGCCTCCTGAGTCACGGGCCCCGCCCTCGGGACCCAGGCTGCCGGAGGCCCGGGAGCAGCAGACGGACTGACCGTCGGACGCGTGAACCAGGCGGTGAGCGCCCAGCCAGCCCTTCCCCGCACTCTAGTCCCGGTCCCCAAGGTCCTCAGGCCGGACTGGACCCTACGGGCCCCAGAGGTCCCCAGACCCAGCACTTTCGATTCTTAGGATTCCCAGTCGGGACCCCGTTATACTGGCCCCGGGGATCCCCGATCTCAGGATCAAACAATAAAGCCCGTAGGTACGAGCGGTTCCTCGAAAATTCTGCCCCGGAGCCTCCAGGATCAAGGTCCTAGATCCGTGCCTCCAATTGCATTGGGGATCCCGTTATCCTGAGCCCCGAGGCTCACATTTAGGATCTTAGACCAGAGATCCCGGATCATCAGTCCCGTGTTGCGGACCAACTGCACCCTGCTTTGGGGCCTGCGGGCCGGGGACTTCCGGAGAGTCGAGCTCAAGTGTCAAGCGGTCAGAGAAGCCAGGGACGCCCCCGCCGACTCGGGACCTGGGCCCTTAATGATGCCTGTGCGTGGCCTCGATCCAGGGACCCTCAGACCCACAGGGTCCCCTTAGATCCTTCAAACTTTATCCCTCCGGCCCTGTCACTCCCCCCACAAGCCAGTGGGTCTCCCAAGTCACAGGCAGAGGGCTGCCCGCGCCCCTACTGCCAGTTTCCGGAAGTGCTTTTATTGGGGGGGCTGGAGGGGCGGTGGATTCAGGGGCGAGCGCCCACTTGAGCCTCTTCCCTCCTCAGGAGTCCAAGGCGCAGCCATGTTCCTGGTCAACTCGTCCCTGAAGGGCGGCGGCGGCGGCGGCGGGGGCGGCGGGGGCCTGGGGAACGTGCTGGGAGGCCTGGTCAGCGGGGCCGGCGGCGGCGGGGGCGGCGGCGGGGGCGGCCTGGGGAACGTGCTCGGGGGTCTGATCAGCGGGGCCGGCGGCGGCGGCGGAGGAGGAGGAGGAGGCGGCGGCGGAGGAACGGCCATGCGTATCCTGGGCGGGGTCATTAGCGCCATCAGGTAAGACCAGGCCTGGACCGGGGAACCCAAACTTCAAGGCCGGCTGGCTCACACGCTGGCGCTGCGAGCCGGGGGCGGAGCTTGGCCCGGGCGTTGGCCCACTGGGCTGGGGAGGGGCGGGGCTTGAAGTGGGCGCCGCCCGGCATTCCTAGAGGGGGGATCCTGGATGAGTTTAGTTGGGCCCCTGAAAGGCCAAAGCCTGATACAAACCAAATCTCACCTCCACTGAGCGAGAGATCCCGACCCATAGCGACTGTCCCCGTGAATTTCCGAGGCTGTAACTCACAACGGGAGTAGAAAGTCCTCCTTTCTCCTAACCACTTTGGAAGGCACTAAGCATCGTGGCATTAAGGCTCCCAAGGCCTGATAGATAGTGGAAATGGATCTTGAAGAGGCAGGGGTTAGCTGGGAATCGGCTGGATTAACGAAGAGTAACGCCCTGGTGGGGCTTGGGGAGGTTGTCCACACAAAAGCCCAATGCCATCCAGTCGATCATACATCCTGAGACCACTGCTGTAAATCTTTACAGAACAGCCAGCCTCATTTTTCTCCCACAGGGCAACTAGTGGGTTTGAACCACCGTGCAATGCTTACCCGACAAGGCCATCTGGACTCCTTCTGGCAGGTTGTCAGCAAAACCCTAATAATCAACCTTTGCCCCTCATTTGTGGGTTTGGCGTTAGGGTGCGAGCGGCAAGGTGGGTGGTTCAAACCCACCAGTCTCTCCGTGGGGAAAAGATGAGGCTATCTGAAGAACAATGCGGCATGATGCTTGGAGGAAGGCTTATTAACATCTGCAATACGCAGATGACACAAGCTTGCTTGCTGGAAAGTGAGGACTTGGAGCACTTGCTGATGAAGAGCAGCCTTCAGAATGGATGACAACTCAGTATAAAAGAAGACCCCAATCCTCACAACTGGACCAATAGGTAACATCATGAGAAATGGAGAAAAGGTTGAAGTTTGCAGGGATTTTTGCCTTGCTTGGATCCACCATCAGTGCTCACGGAAGCAACAGTCAGCGAACAAGAGATTAGATTAAGTAGATCTGCTGCTTAAGACCCCTATCGACTATGGAAGTTGCAGCAAGGATGTGGCCCAAGTTTTGATTCCGTCCTGTGCATGTGAAAGCTGGACACTGAGTTAGGAAGATCGGAGAAGAATCGATGCTTTTGAATCGTGATGCCGGTGAAGAATGTGCCAAGTACCACGGGCTGCGAAAAGGACAAACCGATCTGCCTTGGAGAAGTATGGTCAGAGTGCTCCTTTAGAGGCAGGGACGGCGAGACCAGCCCCTGGAGAAGGACATCGTGGGTGGTAAAGTAGAGGGGCAGTGAAGGGGATGAGATGGATGGACACAGTGGCTGCAAGAATGGGCTCAAGTTTAGGAACAATTGGGAAGATGCGCCCGACCTGGCGGTGTTTCCTTCTGTTGTGCCTTGGGTGGCGATGGGTCGAACCAAAGTCTGCTCCCGTGGAGATTTACGGTCACTGAGTCAGAATCCACTCCTCGGCAGTGGGTTAAACCAGGGCTGTGAGCCCTGCATCATGGAGCTGAGGCGGGGTGTTGGGAAGACAGATAGTCAGGAAGGGTACTCGGCAGATAGGGCCTAAGGAGGTGGGGCCTCAAGTCTCTTAAGGGGCGGGGTCTATTGCGTCTGGGCGGGATTCTGGGCTGAGAATTGGGTGGGGCCTAAGTGATTCTGGAATCTACCATTGGGAGGTGTGCCGTGGAAGGAGTGAGGCCCTCCCTCTGTGGGCGTGGGAGGTGGCATCCTGCTGGATGGGGTTGACCTGATGGAAGGAAAGAAGGACAGTGGTCACAGTAGCAAGGACATGGGCAGGTGAGGACAAGGACGACTGAGGTGGGCAGAGAACCCAGTTAGGGTGGCTGCTGGGCTGGGGGGTTGAGATGCGGGCGCTGGCGGTTCTGCGGGCGCTGCCCGTTGGGAGCCCCACCCCCTGGCACTAACCCGCGTATTCCTCCTCAGCGATGCGGCTGCGCAGTACAACCCGGAACCTCCGGTGAGCTCCCCCAGCTCATCTGGGCCCCGTTGGAAAAGCCCTGTCCCCTCCGCTCTTAAAACCTCGCTTCCCTTAAAAGCTCTTGTCGGGTCCCCTTGCTCCCCATACATTGGCCATCTCCCCCTATCTTCCCTCACCCTGCCGCCCACCCAGCCTCGCTTCCCCACCCACCCTGGAGCCTGGGCCTCCGGGTCCCACTTGTAGTTCTGAGGGTTTTCTGCCCCTCCTCAGCCCCCGCGCACCCATTACTCCAACATTGAGGCCAATGAGAGCGAGGAGGTCCGCCAGTTCCGGAGACTGTTCAGCCAGTTGGCTGGAGATGTAAGTAGCCCCCTCGCCGGTCCCACCCCAACCCTCCCAGGCTCTCCGTGGGCTGCCCCGCGCGCAGGTGTGCGCACCTGTAACCCCCAGCGACCTCAAGTTCCCGTCCTCCCTCCTGATCGCCTACGCCCCCACGACCGCTTTTAGTCACCCTTGATCTGAACGTCTCTTCTCAGGACATGGAGGTCAGCGCCACCGAACTCATGAACATTCTCAACAAAATTGTGACCCGCCGTGAGTGGCCGCAGCGGAGGCACAGGGCAGCTTGGGGCTTGGGGCCTGTGGCGGCTGCCAGCCCTGGCTCTGACCTTCGCCTGGTCCCTTACAGATCCTGATCTGAAGACGGATGGCTTTGGCCTTGACACGTGTCGCAGCATGGTGGCTGTGATGGATGTATCCTTGGGGGGGCTGGATGGGGGAGGCCCCGGGTGAAGAGGGACTTTTCTAAGAGGGGGATTGTGATAGCTTAGGGTGCAGCTGTCACACTTTCAGACCTGGTCATTCGTCCCTCAGAACTGTGGCGTGGTGACACGAAATAACAGGACATGGTTGACATTAACTCAGCTTTTACAGCAAGCCTGTTGTGTACCATTATGATATTCCATTTTGTACCGAAGAAAGGCTCAGAGAGGCAGTCGTGTGTCCCAAGGTTATAAAGATTAAGTGGCAGGTTAGGAATTTGGAGTGAGGTGTTTAGGGGCTGAGAATTCAATCAGGTAAATGCCATGAATGTGGCCACATGCACACATGTCCACATATTCAACCCAGGGACAAAACCCAAGTCGTCCAGTCATGACCGTACACGGAAGGAGGCATGTGCATACTGGCTGGTTTGGGGACACACACGCAGCACACAGGCCAATATTCTCAGACATGTCATGTGCCCACACGTGTGCTGCATAGGTCTAAACAACCTCAGCTGTTCTAAATCAAGGCTACTGCCCTTTCTGTACCTTGCTAAAATGTTGCTAATCATGGCAGTACTGAATTGGAACTCCATGTAATGAACCCGACGCATCACCTGCTACACTGCCGGGCTCCTGCAGCACAGGGCGTAGCCCCCAAACTGCTGCCATCGAGTCCGTGCCGACTCCTAGTGACCCCACAGGATAGAACTGCCCCGTGAGTTTCCGAGATGGTCGCTGCTCATGGCATAGAAGGCATCATCTTTCTCCCGAAGAGCAGCCAATGTTTCCAACTGCTGATCTTTGGGCTCACGGCCCAGTGCATAACCACTCCACTGCCAGGCGCCTGCAGCACCGTGCACAGCAGATAGTAAATGTGCTCTTCTCATTTACTGTTGCCCTGCTCTTAGTCAGATAGACTCTTCATCTCTGATGCTGTTTCTTTCTCAGTGAGAAATAAAGGTAAGGAGGGTAGGTGATGTTCCTCAGGAGCTTAGCACATTGTACTTGGCCTTTTTTTTTTTTTTTTTTACTGTTTATTGAGAACTTATCAAGTGGCAGCCCCGAGCCAAGGACTTTATACCACCATCTTATTTCATTTTTATCACACACCCAGCAAATCCTTACTGTCACCTTGGGGGTGGGGGAAGGCCTTCACAAAGTTCCTGTAAAAATGAATTGAAAAGGTAAAGGCATTTGAAACGTGAACTTTTTGAAAGAAGCCCCTTTTTGTTTCTCTGTAGAGTTCTAAGACTATCGTGTGTTCCAATATTTACGAAATGGAGATTGTGAGGAACCTGTTTTAAAAAGAAACGAAAGCGGTTTCTACTGAAATGAGGTTTTTAAAAGGGAACTAACCTCAAGCACACAGCAAGAGGGGTCCCAGAAAGTTTGTAGAAAAAGGAATTAAAGGAAACTAAAAAAAATCATTTTATTGGCATATGATTCACATATCATAATATGTGAATTTAATAGTTCAATCATACTAAGAAGATTGTGCATCCACAAACTGTTGAGGTCCCCACTCCCCGCCAGTATGTATTTTCTCATGAACCCAAAGGAAGGGTCCTGGGGTGCTGTGTTACTTTCTCCTCATGGGCTGTTTTTAAATCCAGGGAGTTTTCTCACCGTCAATAAATTTATAAAAGGCTACCTCTCCATAGTTGAAACAGAGAGCCTTTATTGTTAGCTTTATTCTTTTGCCTTTTCAAGTTTTTATTACGCTTTTTTTTTGGGGGGGGGGATAATCCAAAGAAAAACACAATGACAGAAAATTCAAAAGGACTAGAATCAGGCGTGAATTACTTCAGCTTGAAAAGTAGAGAGCCTTTATTATTCGGTAACCCTTGGACTACTAAACACAAGGGCGGTGGTTCAATCCCACCAGCCGCTCTTCCAAAGAGGGTTGAGGCTACCCTGCTCCCATAAAGATGTATAGCTCAGAAACCCTACATCAGGGGTCCTCAAACTTTTTAAATGGGGCCAGTTCACTGTCCCTCAGACCCGTTGGAGGGTCGGACTATAGTCTTAAAAAAAACGGAACAAATTCCTGTGCACACTGCACATATCTTATTTTGAAGTAAAAAAACCAAACAGGGCAAAAACACCCGGCAGGCCGGGTAAATGTCCTCGGCGGGCCGCATGTGGCCCGCGGGCCGTAGTTTGAAGACGCCTGCCCTATATCGAGTCATCTGAGTCACAACTGACTCCGTGGCAGTGGGTTTGGTGATTATTTTAGAAGCACCAAGTAAAGTTTGTATGGACACATGGAAAATAGTCACGCTCCAGGTGGCTTGAGGAGGATGGAACAGGAACTGGTGTTTTTTGGCCCAGGTTCCCCTGCTAGGCTCTCACCATCATCGTGTGTACAGTGGTACCGTGTAGTGCATGCATTGGGCTGTAGTCATCACATTGTTCTTAACGGCATCCCACCAGAGTGATACCACAGGCAAGTTGGGCTTCGAGGAATTCAAGTACCTGTGGAACAACATCAAGAAGTGGCAGGTGCGTGGTGGCATCTTCTTAAGCTCCAAGCACTCAAACCCAGAAGCCACAGAGACACATCACATGCTCCGTGGTGCTTAGCTGATCCCTGCTGTCTCTCTGTCCCTGCCCCCTGCAGGCCATATACAAACGCTTTGATGCTGACCACTCAGGGACCATCTGTGGCAGGGAACTCCCAGGGGCTTTTGAGGCAGCAGGTATGGTTGGTGGGGACATGAGGCTGGTGGGGTGGGGACTGAGGAAGCAAGTCCCACTGAGCTGGTCTGAGCCTGGATCTGGGGAACAAGAGTGGTAGGGGCCTCAGCTTCCCCACCCCACTTCCCTGAGGGCTGAACGATTTCCAGGCTTCCATCTGAACGAACAGCTCTACAACATGATCATTCGGCGCTACTCGGATGAGGCCGGAAACATGGATTTTGACAACTTCATCAGCTGCCTGGTCAGACTGGATGCCATGTTCCGTGAGTGATGCCCTAGCTCTTCGCACAGTGGGATTGGCTCAACTTCAGTGACCCAGGTCTTGCCTGAGACTGACGTGAGCAAGGCTAGGGGCACTGCGGGTGACCAAGACAACCCCATTTCCTGGCCTCATGGTGCTCACAGCCCAGTGGAGGGGGTAGAGAGAAATCACCAGTGACTGGCAGGTAGTCACTGGTCCTTGAGGCAGTGACCGGGACTAGGGTGTGGTGAAGACAGGTCAGGGTGATCAGCATTTAGTGGAGACAGCTCGTGGCTGCATGGTGGGAGATGCTCCAGCCAGAGTGAGGAGTCTGACAAGGCCCAGAAGGCAAAGCAGAGGTGGTACCTTTTTTGGGCTATAAGGCATTTAAAGAGAAGAGCACCAACAGGGTGGGGTGGGGAGCTGTGGGCCTGGGAGCGGTTCTGAGTTCCAGCAGGGGGATCCACTGTCCATGTGTGGACACCTGAGGGCAGGAGTAAGGGGCCTGTCAGAGGCTAGGGGCAAGAAGTAGCCCTGGGGCCTGCAGAACCTACCAGCAACCTGTTTGGGCTAGAGCTGGAGGGGATGGGTCAGGAAAGCAAACAGCTGGAGCTTTGAGAGTGGTAGGAGGAGGCATGGCTTAGGGATCCTGATGACTCAAGCCAGGAAGTGTCTCCAAATCCCAAACTCACTGCCATTGAGTAGATTCCGACTTAGACTCATAGGCCAGGGTAGAACTGCCCTCAGGGGTTTCCAAGACTATATGTTTTCACAGGAGTAGAAAGGCTCATCTTTCTGAGAAGTTGCTGGTGAGTTCAAACTGCTGACTTTTCGGTTAACAGCTCAAAGCGTATCCTAAAAACCTAGTCTTTCCCCTCCTCCCCCCTTTTCCAGGTGCCTTTAAATCTCTTGACAAAGATGGAACTGGACAAATCCAGGTGAACATCCAAGAGGTAAGGACCCTCCTCTCCGGGTGTCAGCGACTATCGGGCACCCCACCCCTCAGTCCTAGGCTTGGCCCCACCCTCTCCCCACTCCATTTCCCAACAACCTCTGGGTGGAAGCAGAGAAGGGGTTCTGATATTTCAGGGTCCCTCATCCTTCACAGGAGCCCTGGTGGCATAGTGGTTATGCGTTAAGCTGATAACCACAAGTCAGCAGTTCAAAACCACCAGCCACTCTGCGGGAGAAAGATGAGGCTTTCTACTCCTGTACAGATTGAGTCTCAGAAACCCACAGGGGCAGTTCTATTCTGTCCGACAGGGTCGCTATGAGTTGTTATCGATTCAACGCCAGTGAGTTTGTTTTTTGGGGAGGGTACTCCTTCACGGTCTGTCTTCCTCCCTGCAGTGGCTGCAGCTGACTATGTATTCCTGAATGGGAACCCCAGACCTCCCCCCTCACCGCCTTGCTGCAGGAGCCATCTTGGACCCCTGCCTGGGTCTTTCCCAGGGCTGACCTGCGTGCAGTCACGTATCCACGGGTCCGGAGACCCACCGGCCTCCTCATGCCTCCTAGCCCTTGACACCAGCTTCTCAGACCACAGCCGGGGCCCCAGGCGTACGTTACCTAGTTCTAAGACACTCCCTGTCCCCTGGGTCAGTCTCCCCACCCCTGTGCCCTATTCCACACCCACTCCATAACCTCTACGTGCACCCAGTGCCAAGCCCAACACTTGTGTTGTTTAAACACCCCAAGGGCCCTCCTCTCAGTTCTGGGAGAATCCCTGCACACCCCGTCACAACCACTCAGCCGTCATGCCCACGCCCACAGCCCTGTGCCTTCATCTGCGTTGTTCTGCTCTCAGCCTGCTAGGCTTTGGAAATAAAGCAGGTCTGTTGCTGCTCTGTGGAATCTGCCTCCTGTTCTCTGAGAGTCAAGGGCTGGTCTAGGTTTGGAGTCTGGGCCCTGGGTGTTGGGGTGGTTTTACCTGTCTCCGTGTCTGTTCCACATCCCTTTGCTCACCTAGGTTTTTTGTTCCCTCCTGCTGGATTCCAGTTGAGCCGAGATCCTTCAGAGACCCTGGGTCTGGGGTTGTCTGGGATGGGGACAGAGAAGGCCAGGCAATCTACTTCTGCCCCCGGAATCTGGGCTGGTAGGAAGTCTTGGTGCCACTCCTGCCTCTGTGGCCACCCCCTCTTGTCTCGCTCAGCTGCTGTCCTTGAGTCTGTCTGTCTGCTCTTGGTGTTTCTGCCTTTATTGAAACCTGGACCGTATGTAACCTGGATCTTCCCACCCCACGATCCACTGTCCCCTGGAGAACCCCACCTCACGCCCTATGGAGCTACCATGGGTTCATGGCCCCTAAGGAAGGGATGACAGGCAGCAGTTCCTTGGGGACAGGGTGAGGGGCTGGGGCTGGTGAGAGGGTGCCTTTGGGACATAGGCACACACACAGAGACAGGAGCTGGGATAGGGGCCCCAAGAAGTGGGGGTCTTTATTGATGTGCTGCTGCCCAGATCGCTCGAGTCCTCCTCGCTGCTCAGTCTTACTTCTTGTGGGGGAAGGCGGCCCAGGCGAGGTAGTACAGGGAGTAGCAGGTGCCTGTGGACGGTGCAAGGAGGTGAGGATGGGAGGAGGATGGGGAGTGAGAATTGAAACCCTTACCAGAACCCCATCTTGGGCTTTAGTTCCCCGCCCCCCCAACTCCATGCTTCTCCAGCACCAACCTGGTGTTGACCTGCAGAACCCAGGCCCAAGCCCTAGGCAGCCCCCACCTGGCCCCTCAGCATGCTTCCAGTCAACCTGCACTCACCGCCCAGACACAGTGCCATTGTCAGTCGGTACAGGATTTGGTCAGTTCCCCCTCCTTTCAAATGCACTGGGAGGTCATTGTCTGCCTACACACGGAGAAGGGGTTGTGGGATGAGAAAGGGGCCCAGTTATCAGTAGACCGACCTTCACCTCCCTAACCCCTACTCGGGGTCCTCCCCTCCACCAACCCCCTCAGCCCACCTGGAAAAGTTTCTGCTTCTCGGCCACTCGGTTCTCTAAGCGGTTCCGGGCTGTGGAGCTGAAGGAGCGAACCAGCGCCTGGGAGACCTGCGCAGGGACAATGAGGGTGGGTGCTGGCGCTCCTGGGGCAGCGGCCGGAGTGGGGCCAGTGGGGACAAGTGCCCAACGGCTAGCAGGGGGTGAGGGAGGGGGCTCCTGGCCACAGTGGCTGAGCTTGAAGGGTACCCTCGCCTGGAGGTTACCAGGTAAGGGCAGCGAACCGAAAAGGATTCTGGGCGGTGGGATGGAGCCTCCAGCCGGTTTTTGAGAAGAGGGTTCCCTGGATTACTAACTGGATCCCAGGTTTTCGGACTGCCACTGGATCTGGATCAGGAATCCCCAGGGGATATCCCAGCCACCTCAGAAGTTTGTGGGGGAGACGGGGTTTTCGGATTTGCCATCTCAGAAACCCAAAAGGGCCGTTCTGCTCTGTCACAGGGCCGCCACGAGTCAATCAACTCAATGGCAATGAGCTGGGTTTGTTTGGGGAGTAAACCTGGGGGCAGGGGAGACTGAGCGCCCACTGTCTAGCTCCCAAAGTGCTATTAAGGCACCCCTTGATTAATGGATACAGGTTCCGACTGATGCCTTTGGGCCCTGATAGGGGTCCCCGGCAGTCTCAGAAAGTTCGAGATGGCGCAAGGGGTGTCCTGGGCCTAGAAAGGGATTCGCATTCCAATATCCCAGACCCCAGGGTGTTTAGGGGTCTCCTATCGGGGCAAGGCCCTCCGTGTTGGGGGCCCTGGACCGGCCGGTAGGTTCCCTCACCCGCAGGACCCTCATGGCTCGTCCTCCTCCGCCGGAGTCACCTCCCCTCTCCTCCCAAGGACACGCTGCGCGCGCAATCCCAACGCGCAATCCCAGGTCGCGACAGCTGGCGGGGCGGGGCGGGGCCTGGGGCCCGGGCTCCCACGAGCACCTGGTCCCCGCCCGTCCAGGCTGCCTCCTCCCTCCCAGCGGCCCGCGGGAACTGGGGGCGGGGCGTTGGGGGAGCCTCGCCATTGGACGCCGGTCCCCGTCACGCCTTTCGACGTTCCGGCCCCGCGGCCCCGGGAAGTGCGCCCTGGCGGGTCACGGGGCTCGTTAACGGCTCCTCCCCAGGAAAACCCACCATTAAGGCGGGAGCAACCTGGTTTGACCAATGTCCTTTTTCTTCCCCAGACAGAAGAAGGTTTAGAGATGGACATAAAGTGTGCGATTTAAATATAAAGTTTGATCTCTGCCCCCCCCTACCTCCCCCTCCCCCGGTGGGACAGAGGGAGCGAGGGTCCGAGCCACGAGGTCCAACTCCGGACGATCCGGGACAGTTTCCGTAGTTGTGACCTGGGGGAGTCGGGAGCGAACCCACAGGTTTGTTGGGAACTCACAGAGCCCTAGCTGAATTGGCCCAGGTACCGGTTGGAGAGGAAGAGAGGGAACCGTTATTAGTAATTTTCCTTTAAGCGCTACGGCTCATATTATCCATTTGTATTAATTTATAATTTTATATAAGTTTTATAATTAGATAATGATATAATTATAAATTCGTTTATAAACATTATTACATTTGTTTCCATTTACGTTTCGTTTTATCGTGGACAATTTTCAAACCGGGAAAGGCAGCGAGAACGGCACCACGTGCCTCACCTGCTTCACTGAGCTGCGTTCTGGAGGTGTTCAGGGTTTGTTTCAAGCTTATTCATCTTCTCGTCTTCAAGTGTACTTTAGATCGTATCCCACACTTCCTATTTCATATTAGGTAAGCGTCTAACAAGGCTTGAAAAGAAAAACCCAACAACCTACAACTGGATTGCATCGTAACAAAAAATGAACACTGACTTTTTTTTGATTGGTAAGACAATTGATTTTTTAAAGGTCTCTGGATAGCCTATCAATCTTAATATCCTAATTGTGATAAGTTGGACTGGAAAAGAGTCCTGATGATGTAGTGAGTTACGCGTTTGGCCCCCAACCACAAGTTCAGCCGTTCAAAACTTCTGAGTGGCTCAGAGGAAGAAAAGCGGAGCTTTCTACTCGCCTAACGAGTTACGGCCTCAGACGCACACTTGTAGTTCGTTCTACCCTGTTCTATGGGGGCAGACGCTCGGTGGCAGTGAGCAAGGCGTGCTGGAGCTATGTGAGAGAAGGAAATCCTGAGTCCCACCCCCCTGAGACTGATTCAAAACTCGAATATTCATCATTGTCATTGGAGTTGGGGAATTTATAAATCTATCCCCAAGTGATTCTAATCCAACCAAGACGGAGCACAATAGGTTCGGCACATTTACATGGTTCTTGCTTCTCAACACTGAAAGGATTCGCGAGGCAGAAACATTTTTGTAAACCCAAGTAATTTTTGTGAGGGAAGGGAAAGTTTCAGGTACTACAGTCTCAGACAGTACACCTATCTCTGGAAAGCGTGCACGGCCACGCAGCGAGGTGCTAGAATTGGCGACTGAAGAGCCCACTACAGGAGAGCTCGGAAAACCCCTAGAAAGGAGTGTCAAGCAGGACAGACCATAGTGCGAAGGAGGCCTGCCCTTGGGCCCTGCTTTTATCCCCTCCTACCCTCCTTGAGGGGGCGTGGTTGAGGGCATTGCCATCCCGCACCATTAGGAATGCAAGTGTGACATGGACCCGAGAAAGGCTGACCTTCACCTGTGCCTAGGTGACCATAGTCTGAGCATGCTCAGTTCTGGATTTCCCATCGGCGTCCAGTGCTTGCCTGATTCCTTTCCAACCCCTTCATTGAGGCATGGTCAGCTGCCAGCTAGTCTAAGGTGACCAGACGTCCTGCTTTGGGCGGGACAGTCCCGAATTTTAACAATTTGTCCTGCGTCCCGCGGCATTTTAAAAAAGTCCCGATTTTTGGAAAGAATGCACGACAAGCTAGAGAACGGCAGGAGAACGGGAAGAGAATATAGGTTTTCGGCTGCCATGTGGCTATTTCTCCAGGATATGAGTTTTATATTATTTTTGTTCATTTTATAATGTTAAACTTTAATAATAACAAGTAATTGTTGAGAACTGATTATCGAGAACTGCTTATTAAAGTTCGCATTGTTGATCAGCTATTAGAATTCGACCACCATTGTTTGGACTTAATGAACAATGGCATTTTTTGCCATTGGCAACGACCAAAGCATTTTGTAACTGTCTCTCAGATGATACACATCGTACTGCGTGCTAGTGCTAGTTAAACGAGTGATGTCAACAAATTAGCTACTCAGATAATTTAGGTAATTTATTTCATAAATACGTAAATTTTCTTGAATTTAGCAGACAGTACTGAAATGATGTGCAAAAACCATTAGATCATATTACTCAAAATTTCCCATATAGTAATATTTCCAAAAATGATCTTTTTAATGAGGTATCATTATTTTAAAAATATATTGATAAGGAAAAGGTTAAATCATGGGCATCAGCAAAAATCACAATAGAGAACAAATGGTTAGAAATATTTTATCATTTTGAAACAAACCATGTTCCATACAATAATGCACTAAAAATTGTGGAATATGCGCTGTACTTACCCGGTACTAATGCTGCAACTGTGGATATCAGAAAATACACAATTAAGTGTTGAGACTTTGAAAGCCATTTTATGTGTGAAATATAATTTAACAAATTCTTGTGAAAAATTTCATGACCTTTTAAACAACGACAGCAATCTACTAAAAAAAATTCACTCAAATGAGAAATATGCCAAAGAATAAAATAATACTATACATAATTTTAATGTATTTGTAAATTATACTTATGTTGAAATTTAAAATATATATTACAATACTATTTTTGCATTCTATGAAAATTTTTGTTGCTCTATATAGACCAAATCCTCCCCCCCACCCCCACTATCAATGGTGTCCCACTTTACCAGTGTTAAAATCTGGTCATCTTAAGCTAGTCTGTCTTTCAGAGTACACTGCCAGACTAGTTTTCCCAGGCTCTTCTGGGTGGGTTAGAACCACTAACCTTTGGTTAAACCAAGCCCACAGTCATTGAGTCTGCTGATGAATAGAGACCCAGTATAGTGCTTCTGAAGCTTTACATCTCTACAGGAGAAGCTCGTCTCAACCCAACGGCTGGTGGGTTTCAACTGCTAACCTTGCAGTTAGCAATCCACTGCTTACTTGAGAAATACTAATGTAAAACTAACAACCACTAGACTGGCATTCCTAGAGGACAATGAGCCGTAGCTGTAGATCGACTTCTCTTAAAACTAGACAGTGGCAGACTGCAAAACTGACCCAAGCCATCACCTCTCCCACTGTCCACACTCCTTTGCAATGCGATTTTTCAGCTTGCCTCCCTCTCACCCCCCTTTAGTCTGCACTTGGTTGTATGTCTCGTTTGGGTCAAAAGCAATAGGAAATTAGCTAATGTGGCCCTGATAGCTTTAGAAATGCTTATGCATCGGGGGTTGCCCTCTCTTGCTACTCTTGCAAACCCTGTGGCCCCCACTGCTTAAACAAGTCCAGGCTAGCCTGCGGGATGGCCAGAGGCACGTGGCCCAGCATTCCCCCGTTGCTTCAAGTAAGATCATGTCAACCACGAACATGTGGATGAAAGCATCCGAGGAGATCCGAACTCAGCTGTGTCAGACCAGCAAAATGACACAGCCAACCCATGGATTCACCAGCAATCATCAAACCCAACACAAACCTGCTGCCACTGAGTCAAAGCCGATTCGTGGTGACCTTAAAGGACAAAGAAGAACTGCCCCCAGAGCGTCTCCAAGGCTGTAAATCGTTTACAGAAGCAGACAGCATGCCTTTCTCCTACAGAGAATAATAGATGTTTATTATTTTAAGCCACCAAGTTGGGGTGGTTTATTATACAGTAAATGCTAATTGGTATAAGGCTGTGCATTTCTGTGGCTACCAATCCCTCTTTAAAAAAACCATTTTATTGGGCGCTCTTACGGCTCTTATCAAAAGCCATACTTACACCCATTTGTATCAAGCACATTTATACATTTGCTGCCATCATCATTTCTAAACGTTCTCTTTCTACTTGAGCCCTTAGTATCAGCTGATCTCCCCCTCCCCCCTTCCTCAAGAACACTTGATAATTTACAAATTTTTTTTTCATGTCTTACACCAACCACTGTCTCCCTTCATCCACTTTTCTGTTGTTCATCCCCCTGGGAGGGGGTTATATGTCCGTCATTGTGATTGGGTCCCTTTTCTCCCTCCACCTTCCCCTATCCTCCTGGTATTGCTACTCTCATTATTGGTCCTAAGGGATTTATCTGTCCTTGTATTGCTACCAATCCCTCTTACACCACATATTTCACTCAATCACATTCCTAGCTTTGTTTGGGATCCAGCCCACATCCAAATGGGTCCTAAGGTACTATTGTGCAATTAAAGGGAGGAAATTAAGAGGCAGACAAAAGTTTTGGGGTGCCCATCTCCATGGTATCTGGAAGCAGGTCCAAAAGAAAATATATTCTTACATCAACATATAGTTTCGGGGCATGCAAGCCCCCCTAATTACAGGTCACCACATATGTAGTAACACAGTGGGCTGTGTCCTAACCCTGGAGGTCCCCGGGTTCAGTGGAGGAGTAACCTGACACCAGTGCTGGGGGCAGGTAGGGGGAGTGACTGTCCCCTGAGCAGGGAGAGCAATAGCAACATGTCTGCTCCTAGAGATCAAGCTGCCGGCCAGGTAGCAATCAGCCACGTGCTTGGGAGAGGTAGCACTGTTTTTTGTATGAATTATTTTTTTAAAATCATTTTATTATGGGCTCATACAACTCTTGTCACAATCCATACATACATCAATTGTGTAAA